AAAAAAACTCCCTCATTTCCGTTTATAGGCTCGATTTCGCCGCTCTCTCGAGTCCGGACTACCATCGCATTCTGTTTTAAGTGGTATCTTTTAGGGGTCACGAGGCACGCGCAGGTTGATCTCCTATAGAGGTTGAATTCAAATTTTCCGACGAGCAACCCCACCCCAGAGATCTATGCTTTTGACTATCACATGTTGATACAATATTTTGTTTTCTTACTCTTGGGTAATACGGATCCACAGCATGGTAGAACATCCCATTATGAAGGTACATGGCCTTCCCATATGGAACTTCTCTTGGAGAAAGCGATTGAAAGTCACTGATTTTTCCAATGAGTGCTGTGATGAAAAGGCAAAAATTTCAGTAAGGACTTTATAACATACATTTTTAACATATATTATCGTACATTATCATACATTAACATGCATTAACATACATAACATACATTAACACACACGATCATAGATTAACATAGATAAACATACATTGACATACATGATCATTAACGCACATCAATTTAACGTATAACGTTAATATGGATTAAACTATAGTGTATTGAGCTGTAAGGATTTCTTCCATTCTCCGATATTTACCTTATATTAAAAAAAATAAAAGATCTTTCACATCCTTTCAATGATGCCTTGTTTCTAACAACACACTTCAAAATATAAATATTTGACTTTATGCAACGAGTGTAACAATGAGAATAAAACCCCTTGATAAATACAGCAAAACCTACACTTGTCTAAATCAAATCACAGTTAAGCTTATACCTTGGGACAGCGCAAAAGCTCCAACTCTCACAAAATCTGCTTCCTTAGTGTAAGAATTCACTGGCATACTGTTTGGGTTTTGGTGCCCAGAGGGATTGTCAAAACTATTGCTTCTAACAACATGGTCTTTCCAGTCTGTAGCTAGAAGAGAATATAAGAAAAAAAGAGTATAATAGGATGGTTTTACTAAAAAAGGATACAGTGGAACCCTGTCAATATGCTCACCAGAGGGCCACTATTATTTGGCTGTATTAACGTGGTAAGGTCAAATTTCATGACTGGTCTAAATTGAATAACGTCTTATCAACACAAACTAACAGATATATTATAGTTGCACTTCTAAACAACTGTTCTTTAGTAAGCATCCGGAATGCAGGTATAATTTTTAGAAATTGAAACCTCAATCACTCAATACAATATTAACAATGGAAAGATGAACAAAACTGGTTTGAGTGGCCGCATAAACGGGGTACAATTATAAAGGATTATTCAGGTTGGCTGTTGGTTCTATTAATGGGGTGGCTGCATTAACGAGGTCTCTTTTATAAGGAAATGTATGAGCATTTCGCCAGGACAAAAAAGTGGCTGTAATAACAAGGTGACTGTATTAATGAGGTGATCATATGTAAGGCGAGGTTCCACTGTAATACTCTGGAACAGTTTAAGAACAGTTCAGTATAGAATGGTGATATGTACCAGGCTCGTTCTGAGCAGATGATGATGCAGGGGACAGGAAAAGAGGAGGTCAAGTGCAAGTACAAAGTGCAAGATCTGTGCAGGGAGGGGTGCAAGAAAGGGAATGGCAGAATTGTGACAGGACAGTGAAAGGGGATGTTGGAAGCAGTTGGAAGCGGCATGGCTGAGTGGGTTAGGCTACCCTGGTTCAAATCCTCCACTCTAACATTATTTAGATTTGTTTTTACTAATCCCAAGTTCAACTCATTGACTGCATTGTGTAAATAGCCAACTCAGGTCAGCCTCCCACAAACTGGGATTCTTAATTGCAACATTTATTTATTTATGTAGGGTGCATTCCTTTGGGGTGATCTGGATCAGGATCAGTGATCCAAGATCATTGGGATCATAGTGCATCAAGGTAAAGGTAAAAGGTAAAGTCCACATGNCTCCAGAGAATAATGCTGATACTCCATTTGAACTTAATCAGAAAAACTTAGAGGTAAGTAAACCAAGTCCTTATACGTCCCATGGTGCAATGAGGACAGATGAAACAAAGTCCTTAAATATCCTTGTCATGGATGGTATTTTTTAGTTTGAATTCCTCTGGAAATTCCAATTTAGCTTCATACATTTCCTTAAATTTTTTGGTCTTAAAGCTCTCCCCTCCCCCCACCACCACCGCCACCACCCCCAGGAAATTCCATTCCCTTCTGTGAGAGGAGTATGGATATTTTAATTCTGGAACTGCACAATGTACTTTTTATACACCCCTTAGAAGCAAGATGCCAAGCAACTCTGCCCTCTTCTCATAGAAGCCCCCACCCCCCTTCTCCTCCTCCCCCCTTCCTGAGAGATTCTTTCAGGTCGACACCTAAAAAGAAGCTGATCCTTACATATCTTTCTTACCTCATTCCAATAAATTACTGGAAAAGAAGCTATAACAAGGAGAATACCAAACAGGGATGCGCAGAAACTCTGTTGCACTTTTTGAAAAAAGCCAGGATTTTCTTTGTATGAAACCCTCATGTGGCTGTCTCTTGAGTCTGGCATGTTATGCATTCCTGGGGCACTTGGGTTCTACAATAAACAATGACATATCTTATTGATTGTAAAAATACCTGAAAAGCATTTAAAACACTCAGATTAAACTTTGACATCATAGTAAATTTGTGATACTATATGATTATCAGTTGAGTATGGTGGGATGGAGCTTTGGTGACAACATTTGGACTTAAAATTACCGTGTTGCCACAGGCAACTTTCTTTGTTTCCAATGGTAACGAATTTATCATGGCCTGCAAATATTTCCCGCACTTTGCTGCCAGCGACGACAAAGGTTGACAAGTTGCCACTGGAAATGGAGCCAGTTGCCTGTGACAACAACACAAGTTGACCGTTAAAACCTGGTCATCAAACTTTCATCGCTCCTTACTCAACTGATGATCGTACATGTAGTATCACACCACTGGGATATAATTGCTATAAAATTCATCTCTCATCTGATTGGTTTTCCTCCGTGACACACAGAGGTGGGGGTGTGTAGCATACTTCTTGAAACACTCTATTTCAGACCAGACCTGACCCAAAAATTTGAAACTCAATTTTGGACCAGATCATTAACTTATTCAGAGAAAATAACAGTAAATTATAACCTTTCTTGTAGAGACTGTATTCAATTCCAGTCCAGGGTACATGCCAAAGTTTATCATTTATAAGGGATTACTTCCCCTTCCCCTGCCCTCTAGCCCTGACATCTATCCTATAGATACCTGTCTTTTCTTATTCACTTTGTAAAGGAGCTGGGCACATGTAACAATTTATCATTATAAAGTAATTTTTGCAATGCTAGTATCAGTTTTAAATTAAAGGATAACTGTTCCTCAAAAAAATACTCAGTAGTGACCCAGTAGTTCAGTTGTACTAGCACTAAATTGTAAAGTACATGCATTAATTTATTAATACAAATACAAAGGATAAGCGATGGTTATGCCAATTGCAGATTGCCAGTTAATCAGTTCATTGGCGCCCAGGACAAATGTAAACGTCACCGTTGAACAAAAGGGAATATTTCAGAAAATTACGATTGGGACACAAACAACTGTGCGTCGATTTTTATCTGATCTGCTGGTTTCCCCGGGTTTATAGTTCTACCGTACAACGCAAAAATTAGTTTCCTGACAAATATCAAAGACTTACATGAGTTCGATACATGATTGCCTCGCTGAAAGCTTGAAATATCCAACAAAACAGAAAGCGGAAGTTCAAAAAACAACAGGCGTCACACCMTGCATCTCGTTCAAATTGAGGAGTCTGGATGAGAAGCTTCCCCAGGACCCTCGCAGTCGACAGTATCGCCTGTTCGTTTTTGCATAGGAAGGTTTCGTTCGGCCTTCGTTCATGGATAAATCTATGCTGTTTGTAAAGCGCTATCTGTTTCATAGTTTTTAGTGACAAGTCATGGCTGAAGAAGATTGGGAAGAAGAGGTGAGCCCTGAAAACTCGTGGAAAAAATTGGTAGATAAAACCTTCAGTTAGCGCTAATGTAACCTTCGCTTCTTTTGAAGAAGCACTGCAGTATTCAAGACCGATTTTGCGAGTGTTGCTTTATACATACCAGCACTACAACTTAAAGTACCCTAAGGGGAACTATTTTGAGCATAGGCATGGCATGCGATACTTACCTGAATTAAATCAAAACGGTTGTACAAGTTTGAAAGGATATAAAGTTTTAAAGCCAAAGGCATGAGACCCTGGAGATCATGGTCTTCAGGTCTTCATTAGTTTCTTATTTCCATTGACAGGAGCATCTTGTGGTCATAAAACTCCAAGGAGTCATAGACAATGAATTCTTGTACAGCTGCGAGTCGTCAAATTGTCGACTTTTGGTGAGTGTTTATATGTGTATTAATATACACCTTGGCCCTGAGTCTGACCACTGACCCTGAATATGTCTTGAGTTTGTCAAGATCACAAGGAAAATGAACAAGCCAAAACACAAGAGGATGGGGCTGCAGTCACTGTCACGCTTTAGGACTCACACTCATGTTCCATGCTTACTCTCGCTCAAAGACAATAAAAACTCACATGACAAAAACAATTCTGTGAACAGATAAATAAGTTCAGTTCTTCCTATTACTACATGTAGGTGTGGTCTCTAGAGTTTTAAGGTCTACTGTAGAAGATGACACTGTTCCCTTGCTGCTAGCCCACATGTATCCTTGCGCACCCTCCATCCTCAATGAAAAATGATAAGAGGGGGGCAATGCCCCCATTCCATTCTTCATTAGCAATTGGATTGCACTATCATGCCCCAGGGATGTCGTTAACTGCCAGCTGCCAGCTAATTTCACCAACTGAAAGAGAACTGGCATTTTAGGACGCATACTGTAATTCAAGGGCTGCTGGCTCTGCTTTGAAGACATGTAGTAATTAATAGGGAAGTCCTGCTAGTTTAAGAATCCAGATTCCAATATACAGCTATCTTAGATTGTACAAGTGAATCCCTTTTTACTACATCCACATCTAATATTTATTGTTCTTAGGGTATTGATACTGATGAGCCTGTGCTTCAGATTGGGAATTATACATTCATTGGAGAGTTTAAAGGTAGGATGTTCGATCTTACATTTAGCTTTGCTCAAGATTGCAATAAGTTGCTAAGTACAGTGTACAGGTAACAATGTACCAAGGAGTGCTACTGACAGTCAATTGTTTAGCTTTAACAGGGCTGTTGATAACCTTTCAGGTAGTTTGCTAAAGAACTAAATGACACTTAGGCAGCTGTAATAGTTTTAACATGGCTTCTCCTGGGTATTGTCATAATTTTGGTCATTTTCAAACTTTGATTTGCCAGTCATCTTCACTACAGTTGGCCAGCCACTAATACTGGTAGCTAGTTGTTGTCTGCAAAAGAAAGTGCTCTAAGACATACTTGTCAGTTTTTCTTGTGGGGATGGATTACAATAAAAGTAAAGTAAACATTTTATTAATAATATTATTTGACTATCAATATAGACATCAATATCATAGTCATCACCATCATCATCAACAACAACAAAAACAACAACATCATTGTTGACAGATTGAATAAAAAGGTTTTTATTATGAATAATTGTAATGGCATACCTGGTAACGGGAAATCATCTTTTTTCAGAATCTCTTGGAACACATGTATTATTTGAGGAACTAGGTAATACTTTAATTAGTCTACTGAGAAATAACTTGTCATATATTACTTAATAATATACATGAAAAAATTACT